CTTGGTCTTACATTAGATAAAAGATTAACTTGGGCCTGTTACGTATTACTCCGGGAAGCCGAGGACACATATCGCACGCATTGACAAAGTACGACTCGTTTATTTATTATTAACGCACAACGGCGAAACACACTCAATTATGTTACATATATATAATATCTTGATAATTACCGATAACATAATATCTTACCATAACATTTATAGGTATATACATAATCACTGATAACATAATATCGTACAATAACATATATATATGTATATACATAACAGGGCCCACCATATTAGAGCAAAAAGACTTTCACTGAACAACCGCTTTCGTATCCTCAAACTTCTAGTCTCTAATAAACACACCTCCCTTCATGTCAAACTCCTCATCTACAAAACACTACTGAAACCAATCTGGACGTACGGGATACAGCTATGGGGAAGTGCAAAAAAGACAAATTTAAATAAAATTCAATGTTTTCAAAACATTGCGCTAAGAAAATTAATAAATGCTCCCCCATACATATCTAACCATACTCTCCATACAGACCTAAAATTAAAAACTATCCACGAGGAAGCCAAACACTTTTACAAAAGATTCCACAACCGTCTTTCCTCCCACTCAAATCCTTTAATTAAAAACCTTTCCTCCCTCTCAATCCCCGGCAGTCCTCCTAGACGATTAAAACGTGAATGGTGTAGAGACCTGTTACAAATTTTAATATAGAAAAAAAATAAATACTAACTTATTAAATATATATAATTCATTTACATTTTTCATATAAACTATCAACATTTAAGTGTCATCATTGGGTGGCTTCTTTATTCACTTTTTTGTATTTTGTATACTTATGTTATCTGTACCCCTTATCATATATGCTTATTGTGTCGTTTGATATAGATTGTATATTACGTATTAAAATAAAAAAAAAAAAAAAAAACTAATCATTCTATATCTGTGAATTATAGTTATTATTACTATTTTTTTTATATGTTATTAAAATGTACTAATTGTATTGTCATATTACACTCGACACTCAATACTCAATGAATATTTTATAAGCTATAAGATAACACGAGAGAGCACAATACGGGTTTTGAAAAATATTAATAATAATAATAAGAAATTATCTAAAATTTAAATGTATTGTAGATAATACAATTACTTAGACTTGAAAGTATGTAGTAAAATGTAAAAGTATGTAAAAGTATGTAGTATAGGTAATACGAAAACTTTAAATACAATAGTAATTAATAATTATGGTTGATTTAATTTGTAGGTAGGTACAATGTAAATGATAAAAAGTATTGAGTTTGAGTTCAAGTTCAACTTAAAATCATAATAGGTCGGTTCGGTAGAAAATATGAAAGTTCGGTTCAGTTCGAGTTCAAAAAATAATTTAAAGTTCGATTCAAGTTCGATTCGATTTAAAAAATCAGGGTTCGATCCATCACTAATAATGACCATCGATTGCATAATTTAAAAACTTAATTATTAATATTATGATTGTATATTTTATTGTAAAAAAAAAAAAATCCGAATATTATACTGTATATATGTATTTGACATTGAAATATGTCTTAATAAAGATAAATAAATTGAACTGTGAGTCTGGAAACTAATAAGCCACAAATAAATTCATAACTTATAAATAAGTAATGATACATAGTTTTAAAATGTAAAGAAGGTAAATAAAATACTTATAATTTCGATACAAGTGACATACCTGTGTAAAACAAATTTGAGATACAGGTATTGGATATAATTGACTATTGCTGTTGAAAATTACTAATTCCGTCCTTCGGTATACACTCATAATAGATTGTTTTTAAACTTAATGAATCATTGCAGTTGGAAAACGATCCTGAGCAAGAAGGTTAATGTAATAATGTATTTATATATTATACCTATGTACATTGTATTATGCACTAAAAAATTGTATTCGTTTTGTATTATTTTACAAATATCATCGTGTACCTTTATATGTTGTTTAGAGTTTGTGTTAATGAAACAGTTTTTTTTAATAATTTCCTTAGTCTTCTTCTTTATAAATTGAACCGTAATTTTTTATCTCGTGATATTTGAAATAAGATATTGAGTTCCCAATTGTTGAATTTTATGTCGCTGTATTATATAGTGAGTCCGCGAACTAACGAATTACATAGGTTTGTATAATAATTAATAAAAAAACAAATTAAGTTTAAGACAGCAGATTACACTTACGTAGATCGTCAGCTTTAACAAAACAAAAGTGAAGTGAGAGTAGAGTCATTCATTTCACTTTCATTATTTTTATAAAATTATTATTATTATTATTATTATTACTATGCGCGATCATTAATAATTATTATGGTCCATATTAATTACTAGTTTCAATTAAAAACATCATTATGGCAAACAACGCTCAGAAAACTGACCTTGCTTCGCCGCATAAACCAAATCCACGAAAAGAAATTTGCCAACTCAATTAATTTTGACCAGTCAAAATGACAAAAATTCAGTCTACATTTCACAAAACCGCTTCGCTTTACTCGCCACTGATGACACCGATGACATAGCAATTATCATATCCTTAATCAACATCAAGGATGAACCTGTGAACTTGCTTCACACAGATCGCTATATATATATATATATGAGGCTTCCAGCTCCACCTATCTTTATCAAAAATATTTCAAACTATTCCATTTTTAATACGGTCTTAACCAACATCACCAACTCCAATAGTTTTACATTTAAGTCAATGCCGTTACACTTCATCATACAACCTGCAGGTTGTCTAAATTTTAATAAAATTATTGATTACTAACATGAAATTAACGTTAGTTTCCATTGGTACAACCTCCGTCACCTTTGCACATACTGGATCGTCATTAGAAACCTACACCTTTCCACGTTAAATGAATTTGATTCATTCAAGTGAAATTGAAATAAAAGCCTAAAGAAACTTCAATGAAATTGTTAGTGCTCTGGCTGAGTTGAGACACTTAATTTAGCATATACAGTGTGTAAACGCTAACTGAAAACACTTAATATCTTTGCGCAGTGTTAGCGCCAAAGGCGGGCCCGCCTTGGAAACCCATTGGCCTGCCTAAAAATGTTAATTAAATTTAATAGTTAAAATTATAATTTTTAAGTATTGTTACGTAAATAGTACATATACCTGTATATTGGTGGTTTGGTTTTCCGAAGTCATTGTTACATAATATATAAATTATATCCCATCTTATATTATTTTCTCATTATATTATCTAAATCTACTTGTACATAATCAATTATGATTCAGCATAATTAACACAACATTGTATACAGTACAATTTAGTTTAATCGTTTAAATATGTATAATAGCATGTGATATCCTAACACATTAAAATATATTAATAATAAAAATAATAAAATTTGTAATTAAAAAAAAAAAAATTAAAAAAAAAAAATAATTAATGAGATACTAATTTGTAATTATTTTGTAATTAAAAGTTTGTTTATTCGTAATTCGATATTTGAAACACAAAAATGTTTACTACTTTCCTAGGTACTTTTTAATGGTTTTGTAAACTAGTTATTTGTTTTGTTGATGGTTAATGAAGTATATATTTTGTAACAGATAAAACAAATAATTATGCTCAAATTTGTTTTATCATAAGTGAAGTCGTGAGATGACTAACTTAATTTTTCATCTATTTTGGGCGTCAGGACACTAAAAAGGTTGAGAAACTATGGTACATAGAAGGGATGGGCAACTCAAAGTAACTAGAGGGCCAATTTTTAAAACTTTAAAATCTGGCGGACCATGGTAAAGAAGGCAAAAATTATAAAAAGGTCATTAAAATTGACAGTTAGCATTTATTTTAAATAATTAAATTTTACCACTGAATCAATACAATACAAATCCCTAATAACTATAGCTATATTAACTAAGTCGATATGGATATATATTATATTTAGACATTTCATGATTATGCTGGAGTTCAATACTAGAGAAAAATATAATAACTATATTTTACAGTCAACGTGATCAAATTAAATACTGATAAACATCAAAATGTTATAAAGTGATTTGAAAATGTAGCACAATAATTAAAAAAGTATGTGGGTCACCAGTTGCCCATCCCTGGTGTATAGAATCAACGAAAATCTAATATTTTTGATTACGTACGAAGGGATAAAAGGGCGTATTTTGAGCGGCAGCAGTTCGTTAAGATTGCTCGTAGTCTAATTACTGTAATAACACCACATGACGAATTTTTCACATACTTAAATTTTGTTGCTTCTTCGGGAGTTATATTTGTCAAATATTCGTCTACATTGTTGCTATTTTAAATGTTACGTATCATAAACATAGATTTTAGTCCGATATTTTTTTCTGACTTCTTTTTAATTTTTTGTTGATTTTTTTCAGCTACGAGTATGAGCTGATCCAGAGAACTACTGGGGGCAAATTCCACCCCGTTAGAAGACAATAGTATTAAAAATAAAGTATATTTAGAAGAACTAAATAATATATAATAAAAATAAATGTTGACAGTTTTAGTACAATATTGTTACATTATTTTTGGAGGCTCTATGCCCCCCAATACACGCCTACATACGCCTATGATCAGCTATAATTTATAATTTCTCCTATGTAGTGTTCTGACCATAAAAAGATGTTGGATCCGCTTCGGTAATGGGTCGTTTGTTTTGGCTAAGTTTAAATTTGGTGCTTTCAACGATTTCGAAACTTACATCGAGTAAAAATGAGGAATTTTCTGATTTCAATAAAGATTGAGTGATAAAGCAAAAGTTACATTTTATACGAGCTAAATCATTTTGCATATTTCTTTTTTTAAATAAAGTTACTGACACGATCCCTTGGTAGTTGAGGTACATTGCATTTTACCAATCTTAATTTATTTTTTTCAAATTTTTAACAAAATAATAATATTAAATAAACAAATAAAACAATTTAATTGCATTGTGATGATGAATATCCATCATTCAAATCTTCTTAATTGTCTGATTTATCTGAATCACTTTCACTATTATAATCGGAATCAGATATTATGAGAAGTGATTTTACTTCAGGGGAATTTTCAAATTTAATATTATTTTTTATTTGTCGAATCGAAGAAATAAAAGGATCGAATGATATTAATAAAATGTGAAGGAAATCCGTTATCGTCATTATTCTGGATATTTTCCTAGTATTATGTCGTCGAAATGTTATATAATCTTTGTTACGCGATTCCTGGGCATCTTCTGAAAGTTGTCCTAAAAATATTTAATTACACATATATTATGATAAAAAATGGTATACTTAATTTTTATAAGAATTACCTATCGGAAGAATTGCATAGCGAATGATATCCGCTCCGTGAATTAGAATTTTATGTTCTGAAGGGGGCATATAAAACAATAGGTATAGTTTGACAATATTTCTTGCAGTTTCGATACCATAATTTTCGAATGCGTTTGTTTCATTTTGTATCCACTAGCAATACATGATAAAATATTGCCAAACCTATTAATTAGTCTATGCCAGTAATTGCTGATGACTGAAATGCATTTTTAAAAAAAGTTCTAGCCATGTTGCCATTATTGGTAGTACCATATCCTACAAAATAATTAAAACAAAATTATAGGTAATTTAAAGTATTTGCAGTATTTAACGGTTAAATACATATATTTTGTTACCTTGCAACACGATATCTACCAATAAACCCATTTCACTGCGAAATTTACTTTGGATAAGGGTTTTCTTAGCAGAAAACGTTGCCTTATGTTCTGATGTTCTGACCTATACATTATGATAAAATTACCTATATACATTATAAAAGTAATATAATAATCATACAAATAATATAATTATTTACCTGCCAAGCCTTGAAGTACAACCGATATACAATGTGTAGAAGACATTCGAAAAACAATATACATGCGATGAAGAAAAGCCGAATTTCAAATTGTCTGGATTAATTATATTTTTACTTAATTCTAATTCTTAATTCTTAATATTATTACTGTTTTTAGGAGTAACTCATAACCAGGGTTCGTAAGTTCATGCCCTAAAAAATGCCTAAATAAGCATGCATTTATGCACTTAAAATTGGCAAAATATGCTTTGAAATATGCCTTAAAAAGTTAAAAATATGCATTTATATGCACTAAATATCTAAAATTATGCACTTAAAAAATGCTTACTTAAATAAATCATAAATAATTTTTGAAATTACATAAATTATCTATTCAATTTTTTTATAGCTATATTTTATTTTTTTATCTCATAATTAAAAAAAAAATAGATTTTAAATACTATTTAAAACTATTCTTGAGCCTTCATGAACTGTGTATAATGTACGTCTTTGTCAGTAATTAATTTTAAATCTGAAACTTTTGGACAAATTTATTCATTAAATGTCCGAGTATCAAGAATATAAAAAAAAGAAAAAATAGTACAATTTCTATTTTTAATTTTATATATATTTTCCATTTAGATTTTTGATCGATACTAATAGAATGTTGTATAATATGCCCGATAAAATTGAAATATGCATAAATATGTCAAATAAACAAAAACATGCCAAATATGCGAAAACATGCAAAATAAGATTTCACATTTTTAACCGTGGTACCTTGAAATGGATTTCTGTTTCATCTAGCATTAAATACAACTTTGCAAAATTGATATGCAAATGCATGTACTTACGAGCTCTGCTCATAACTAACATAATCTGAATATATGACGCAAAGAATTATTCAAAAGTAAATTGTATAAATATAAAATATTATTATTATAGTTTATTTTGTAATTTCTACAATCCTACATAATTAATAATAATATTGTTATCTAATAAATGTGGTGGACGACGGTGGAATATTGTGGTGGTTCACTGCGACAACGTCTAATAATCGAACTCCCGGTATTTTCGACTATAAATAAATAATCAGTCGAATGGTCGATCGGTGTCTTGGAATTCTCCGCGGCCTGTGCTAATGAATGTGTGCAAACCGATAGTGACGATACTGTACTGCACTTCTGTTGTGTTTGTGTATTGCACTACTATAGACTGCAATATTAAGAGATGAGCAAAAAGTTTATAACATTGATGTTCCGATGTATCGATGTATCTACATTTGAAACATCGATGTTGGTGATCGATATATTCGACAAAAAATCGATGATTATCTTCTATTCAGTGAATAAAACATTATTAGAATAAACAAATGAAAACTTTTTTATTAATTATTAAACTTTTTTACATAATAAATTTTTTAGCATAAGTTTTTTTTTTTTTGTTGTTGAAATTCTCCAGTTCAGCTTTTCTCTTGTTTGTTCGATCTAAAAAATATAAACCAAACTAACAGATACTAATTCTCATGGATTATACAATATCATGAAAATATCTAATAAGAAAATCGTTAAAAAATGTTAGAATTACAACTATACAAAAAAATATTAATTTTTATCGTAAAATATGAATATTCAAAGTGCATTAATATGGTATTTCCTGCATTTTCAAATATACATTTAAAAACCCGAGTGTCAAACTTGAATGGAGTATGTGGAAAAATATATATGTAGAGAAAATGTTCAATAGTGTCGTTAGAAATGTGATACCTTCATAAAAATAATGGATTAAGATACTGAACAATTTTCTCTTACTAGAGTTCGATGGTCCCTGGTATGCCCAAGGGACATCGACTGTTGGTATTGTTCTCACTTTTATAGGTCGGGCCATATACTTATTCAGTTCTGAACTCTGAAAATTAATCATATATTATTTCTATGCGCATATACTAACTATATAAGAAAACATTTATATAGCAGTTACAATATGAATATATCATATAAATATACGTTATCATTTATTTGGATTTTACCTATTCTGTATCATAATTATACAAAAAAGAGTACCCAATAATGAACGTGCTAAATTAAACAAAATATGCACAAACTTAAAAAGTCTGGTCGAGTCACGGGATGTGTGCACTAAAAGCATATGATTTAATTTATTATTATCTAAATGTAACATTCATTTGGAAATATTGATTTTCATCAAAATAGCATAAAGCGTCAAACAAATATGGATAGTTTAATAAGTTCTTCATATAAGATTTTTTACAAGTTGAAATGCTAATACTTACTTGAATGGTTTAAACAAATAACAAATTCTTCTTATAATCACATAATTACAATCATTTTATTTACATGTATCATTCATTATTGACCACTTACGGCTAGTATTATTTCTTTTTTCTCTGTCTCCTTCGGTACAGCTGGTTCAACTGATTTTTTAGTGGCATTCTTTTTTTTTGGTTCCTCGGAAACCGGAATAACTGGCTTTTTTATGATCGGTGGGTATTTTGGCACGTGAGCTATGCGCCGTTTTCTTCTATCAGAAGTTGATTTTCTATTCATTTCATCCTGCGTTAAGCCTTCGATATCAGGTAGCTAAAATAAATATTTTATATCAAATGCAATGAAAACTTAATGGAAAATATCAAAGATAATAGATCAAGGACGTATTTATAGATTTCAAGATTAACACAAATATATTTTTTTGTTGAATTATACATTGCACTCTTGGTCAAATGATATATATTTGGGAAACATTGAAATAGTTAAATAGTACATAACAAAAGTAGTAGTAATATATGTTAGATTCCGGAGTCTTTATCTACTTAGAATAGAGCAACTAAGAGTCAGATGGTTTTTGATTGAAATATTTAACAATGATAACTAACCAACCCCAGAATCATACCTCTATTACTTAAGTTTCTACAGTTATTTATTATCAGATCATCCTTATAAATAAATAAATAATACAAGTCCAATTAAATTAAGAGAGGTAGGTAAATATAAATTTACTAAAATTATTAATATTTTAAAATACTTATAAATACATCTACAATATGTAAAATAAAACAACGTAATATGACGTACTCGATGGACACTTTCAGGAATTGGTCCTATTCTAGGTTTTATTACAACACCTATAAAAAAAAATAAAGTACATATAATTTTGTTTTATTGTGTCAGTATAATATTAAATAGATCAAGCAATACATTTTTCAAAATGATTTTACAACCAGTTCTCAACTAATGTGTAAAATATAAAATAATTATTATAAAATTAATTGTTAAGGTTCTTCTTCAAAACTTAAAAGTTTTAAAGAGTATATATACACTGTATAACTGACGAATATATTCCACACGAACATACTACAATTACAATTGTATAATAAGGTATAATATATTCTTGTAAAATAAATAATAAACTTATAAATTCTACGTACTGATGTTATACTTGTTCTTTTGACAATCCATCTTGAATATGAATATGATTATTAAAATTAAATAGATTTAATTCTAATAATCAGCTAAAGAATTGCAGTCGATAAGTATAATAACTATTCAAATTGTTGGATAAATCCTGATGCGAGATAATTCAAAGGTAGAATCTAATGGTGTACTGTAAAAAATACGTTTGTTATATTTTATATGTAGCTAATAAACGAAAATCAACAAAAGGTTTTATTCGAGCCAAACTAAATATTTTGTATGTAATTTAAATATGCAATTAAATTTAGTATAACTAATAATAATAATCAAAATAATAAATATTACAATAACATTTTAATAATAAAAATAAATTTTTATTTTTGTATTTTTGTACACAATTTCGACTAAAAAAATTGTTCCGATCATCACAATGATCAGAAATATTTGACTTGAAAGATTGTCTAGTTCGTACTTAAAAATTTGTCATTTTATCAAACTTCAAATTTTTCGTTACAATTGTGAAAACTATTGAAAGGTTATACAAATTTTGGCAACATTTACGGCATACTGTTTTTTAAGGGAAATCGATTTCTTTCCCATCGTTACTCAAGAAATTATTATTGTAAAGGTGCCTGTACACTGTAGAGATAAATACAGCTAGATTTAGAAAAGTTTATAACATTGATGTTCTGATGTATCGATGTATCTACATTTGAAACATCGATGTTGGTGATCGATATATTCGACAAAAAAATCGATGTTATAAAAACATCGATATTTAAAAATATCGATGTGTACCTTAATAAGTTTTAAGAAAAATTGTATCTATGTTATATGTATGTATGTTATGTATGAATTGTAAAATGTTTAAATAAATACGTTATTTAAACATCGTACTTCGGATTAGAAAAAAAATCGATTTTTTTTCAATACATCGCATTAAAAACATCCATGTAGGGTTTTGATAAATCGAACGAAGCATCGATGTTTTTAAAAAATCGATGTATTTTGCCTATCTCTAGTATTATTTAATATTTAGACCTTGGAAGTGTTTTATTTTGGTGTTATACCTTGGTGATTAAAAATAGACAAAAAAAAATGTATTATTTAGTATTTTTAATAAACAAAAAAGTATCCAGTACTAGTACAGCTGGTACTATTGAAAATGAAAATAATCCAGACAATTTCAAGTTTTTCAGAAAGCATGAAAGTAAGTAAATTTAATTATTATAATATTGTCATGTAGCTATGTAGCCCTATATAGGTATATGTATATAAATATATATTTGAATTATAATTTATATCTGGTCACCATACCTAAAGTTAGAGGCGTTCTCAAGGGGAGGGGGGGTCATGGGGTTTGAACTTCCTCATGGTAATATATATATTGTGTAATATGGCAACACCGGAACGAACATTTTCATGTCTTAAAAGATTGAAGAATTATCTACGTGGCACGATGACAGAAGTAAACATTTCAAAATTTAAACAAATAGTTAATTATAATATTTTTTTTGTTTATATTTACAACATATATTTTCTAGACTAAACTTAATGGATTGATAATGCTGGCCGTTTATAAGGAAATTCCAATAACAGCTGAAGAAGTCCTCGATGAATTGGCCAAAAAGCCAAGAAAATTAAAAAATTGTAATTTAAAAATATGTTATAATTTGTGTGTAATGTGTATTATCTATAATAAATATGTGATATGTATAATACCGAAATTTTATATTATTAAATGGATCAATTAAAAAATATTAAGTGAACCCCCCATAGAAAAATCCTGAGCACGCCTCTGCCTAAAGTCAAAGGATTTTAAAATCTGAACTGGAATGTAAGTTTTTAGACATTAAAATATTATAGGTAGTTTGTATTTTTAATTGTATAGCAACCAAACAAAGAAGTTGATTGTATGTCAACTGATCTGGAAGATTTGCAATCCGGTCCAATTTGTCCAAAATTACAAATCATTTTTAATTTCAGTTAAATAAAAAATTACACAATATCTTATTTTTTTATTTTACATTTTTTTTACATTAAAGTAGATGCATGATTATTATTTATTAATTATTGTATTCATTTTTTTATGATAGGTGTATCCAAAGACCAAGTTTGGGAACCAAAATAGAGCCTTTTCAGCAGTTTAGTATGAATATTTTGACTGGTTAGAGTACAGTATTGAAAAGAATGCAATTTATTGTTATGCTTGCCACGATTTTTCTACACACTCTGTTGAAGATACTTTTGTTCAAAAAGGTTTCAACAATTGAAAAATTTAGTATGTATACATACTAAAAAAATAATTTGAAATTCTCATGGTATTTTTGATTGGTTGATCCTTACTTTTTATTGGAATGACCTTTTTAAGAATAAGAAAAAACAATCTACTGATAATAAAATTATGACACCTGCAGAAATGGCTGAAATTGTATCACCTAAAACTTTTCCAAACTTGTATAAATTGTTGAACATAGTTTATACAATTCCTTTTAATAGTGCTACTTGTGAAAGAACATTCTCTGCTATGCGACAGATAAAAAATTGGCTACGTTCAACAATGTTACAAGACTATTTTTCAAATTTAGCTTTATTAAATATTGAAAGAGACTTTACTAATAACATAGACAGTGATTCTGTTTTAAAACATTTTATAGCTAATAATAAAAATAGACAGATAAATCTTAATATGTAAATTACAAATTATATTTATATTTGTATTTGAGATTATTGATTATGTCATATTTTATGTAAAACATACTACATATAAGTAGATACATGATTTTTAATAATTATTGTAATGTTTCTGTGGCAATGAGGGGTTTGGGGTGCGAAGCCCTCCATGACTCATATTGACTAAATTTATTTGTAGGGCTTCAGCCCCCCCAATATTTTAGACCTAGTTGTGCCAATAAAACTCATTTTAACTGTCACAGTGCCGTATCCAGAGGGTGGGCTTTTGGGCTTAAGCCTCCCCCCCCCCCGAAATCTCTGGTAAGATATTTTTTTAGTAATGCGTAATGGGTTCAAATCAGTAATAATGTTGACGGGGGAACTATGGCCTAGCAACGGTTATGACGCTACGACGACCATAGGTATTAATGACGATTGATGACGGCAATGTTCATTAACATACCTACTAAAAAAAAATATGAAGCTTATTTAAACTTATGTCTTTGCATAAAAAATGCATTAAAAATGCAACAAGTGAGAAATGCTCTAGGAGTTGTACAGGAAGTAAATGCATGTTTTCGTGCATCAGCTATACAGTCAACTATATTACGGAAAAAATTAAAATCTAAATCCTTTTCTAGGTTGAACAAATTTTGCGAGACTAGATGGGTGGAACGAGATGAGTCAATTTTAATTTTGGTTGAAGGTTTTAATGAAATATTAAGTGCGTTGGAAGAACTTATGTCAATAGAACATGACAAAGCAGTTTTTTCATTACATAAATCTATGTGTAATTTTAATTTTATTATAACTATCTGTATTTTGGAAAAGATCCTTGGAATAACTAATTTTATTTCCAAATATCTTCAAACAGAAAATATAGATTTAGCCATTGCAATAGAATTTGCAGAATCGACAATTCCAAATACAGGATTTACGGACGGAAGAAACTTTTGATGCTATATTTCATCGTGCTTGTGAAATTGCAAAAGAAGTTGGCACATCACCAACCATACCAAGAGTAGTTGGGACTCAAAAACACCGAGATAATTATACAATACTCAATAATGATCATGTTTCTTACTACAAACAATCATTATATTATCCATATTTAGATAATATTCTAGCATGAACGTTTTAAAATGAGCTCTAATATTTTTATTTCTTTATCTTCTTTATTACCAAATAAAATTGGTAATCTATCATTCAGTGATATAAAGCCAGCTATTGATTTTTATGAAGAAGATTTAAGATCTAAAAATCACAAAATTCACATGGACTTATTAAAAAATGAATTTGAATTTTGGAAATGCTGGAAATGGTCTAATGAAGAAAATGACTTACCAAAAAATGCATTAGACACATTATCAAAATGTCCCGAAGATTTATTCCTACATATAAATATTTTACTAAAACTTCTTGCTATTTTGCCTGTAACAACAGCATCGGTAAAAGAAGTTTTTCTTCTTTAAAAAGAATCTAGACCTATTTAAGAAACTCTACAGGCGAGACAAGATTAAATGGGTTAGCCCTTATGAATATACATAGAGACATACAAATCGATACAGATATTATTTTAAATATGTTTGCATCAAAAAAAGAAAAGCGTACAAAACAAATAATAATAATAATAATAATAAAAAAAATAAATAAACATTAAATAGTATGTGTATGTACCTATATGTTTTTAAATTATTTCCTATTTCCCTATATATTTTTGTAATAATAAAAATGCCTTCGAACAAGTTTTTGTAAAGATGTTCAAGATTTTTAATTTGTTTTCAAAATTAAAATCCGTTAAACCCAAGTCCCACAGTTTTGTCTAGCTTATAACCTGTTTAACGTGATTTTTTGCATCGTCTACAGCCCCCTTAAGAATAAATGTTCAATCCTAGCTGGTAAATAAATTGGTAATAATTAGGGCTTGGAAGTTGTAGGAATTGCATATTGTCTGTATGATCTCAATTTATAGTAAATCTTGAAATTTGAAGTATACAATTGCGAGTTAAAAAATTGAAAATTGAAAATGCATATTTTTCATATTTAGCTAAAAAAATGCTTATTTCATTGATTTTATATGCGTATTAAGCATATTTCATATTTTTCTAAAAAAATTGATTTTTTTTCTTTCTTAACCTGTATATTTCAACTAATATTGAATATAAAACTCAAAATTATCAATGAAGGTATTTATTGTCATCGACATAGTCATCTTCTATTGAATAATCGTCGTTCATTTGAATTAGAAAATCATATAAAGTATTGGTGTTTTAATGCAATAACTTAACAGGACAAAACATGTATATTTTCGTAATTTAAAAAATACTGAAAAAATATTTTAAATTTTATTTTCAGCTCAATAAGATGTCAAAATTCCAACCAGTTATGTTTTTTTTAGTTATAAATAGTTTTTATGTATGTTATTAATTTATTAACAAAATCTGATGTATTTTATTTTTGGAATTCAGAATAATTTTTTTGCATATTTAACATTTATGCATATT